GCTGCTATACATTACACCAACCACACATGCTCCACAACAGTGAAAGTAAATCTAAAAAAGAATATACAATATTATCGGTACTGACCTGGCATTTCGGCTTCAGTCAATTTCACACAACTGTAACATAGCTTCCTTGTGCCTTGTCTATGAATATTTTTATAGTAATTGTTCTGATGAGTTTTCTTCTACATTTCTCAAGTTGCAGTCTTATTTGCTCAAGCCCTTCATGTGAGGCACTCAGACACCTTTGTCTATAAAGCAATCATCTTGTTTCAATTTGGTTTTGAAATGGGCTTTGTTGTTGCTGTCAATGTCATTCTATTGCTAATCTTTTTCTTCAGAGAGATATTTCCATTTCACTGTTATATTAAACACACAAAACTTTTAAAATAAAAAGATATTGAGTGAAAAGTGGATTTATATAATACCAGGAGTAATCAATGAATCATAGGTACCATTGAATGTCTAAAAAAATATAAAGACAATGGATTAATTAAATGATCCATTGGCCCTCATTTTAATCATGAATTCTTCATCTCCACTTTATTGAATTTCAATATATTATTTCAAAACTTTTGTTTCATTGCATTTCTCTATTAAAACTTTCTAACAAATGAAAAATATTATTCTTGACAGCATAAGTACACTAGTTTACAAATGTCAAGTTTGAAAATGTGCTAACATCATTAACATCTACACATTTTTTAACATTTTTTTTGCCTGGTATTTTTACGGAAGCATATGTACAAACATTTGAAGTACATAGTTGTTTAACTTAAATTAAGAATAAAAAGATACATAATTTTATTAATTTATGTAAATTTGTTTTATTTACTTAAAAATGTATATGTATGTTTTAGTTATTTAAGAGAAAACCTTTTTGTAATCCCACCTGAAAATAAGTCTGTTTTCATATGCAAAACTGCTATGGCCAATAACTCTGTATAAGTCAGGGATTGATTTGACACTTTATCAATATTATAAAGAGGACCCCCCCTTCTAAATCAACAACAAATCAATATTTTTTTTATTCTGACAAGTGTTGTGGCCTAAAGGAAGATCGAACAAATGCTAAGTTACAAAAATCATTTCATATAAAGATTTTTTTCCTATTTTTTTTATGAGTAGACCAATATTACCCAGTCAGATTTTGAAACAAATGATATAAATTATTTTTAGCAGATACAAACCAAATAAAAAGTGGAAAAGATATTAGAATTTAAATTAAATTTAGTTGCTACAAATTTTAAAAATCAATACTTATTAAACAGAATTTTTTTCCTGAATTTAATAGCCCAAAATTATATGCAAATTACTACAGTAATTTTTCTGCTTTTCAAGGAGTGTCAGGAAAATCAGTCTGAAACCAAACAGAAGACTTCATATATAGATGCTCAAATCTCTTCTTTGTATATCTGTTAACTGTAACATGTTTCCACTGTCTGGTGCAATCCATGTGAAATTCATTCTTTGACCTCCAACAGGTATAATTATAGATTACAACTGACAAAGAATGGATTGACCAGACCATTGTGTTAACAACAGCAAACACAGAAAGAAATTTAAGCATCTAAACAAAGTCAATAATTCTCCTTAAAGTCACAAGGGGCTACTGAGAACTTTTCAGCACCTGTTTGTTAAACAAAAACGCTTTATAGTAGACATCAAATGAGAAAGGCACCAACAAGAATATGTGAATATAATCAACAGAGAACGACAATAGAGTCTAAAAAGCTATGGCAATACAAAGAAATCAAAAGAAACTATGCTAACATCTATTAAATTTTACAGAATTTTATGTACTAATCTCTGTAAATATCTGTTGACTTCTGTCTGAGATATTGTCATGTTTGAATGCTGAAAAGTTCTCATCTCAACCAAGAAGAGACTTAAAAAAACTTAAAAATCAGATCTTTAGTTTTTTTAGGTTGGTTGATTTTGTTTAGCGACACATCAACACCTATCGGTTATTTAATGCCAAAATCTAAATATTTTGTATGTAATTTTAAGCTTTCAACGATAGATATTTTGTACATAATTTTATATACTTTCAAAGTAAAGGTATGTTTTTTAGATAAATATTTGTAGATCATAAGATGTGCTGTTGGTAATTTTACTAAAAATGTATTTTTATATTTTTTAGTGTTGATGGGGAAGGGAAGAAAAAAAATTAATTAAAAATAGGGAAAAAATCTTCAGGACTTAGGCAATGCGTTTGTAAACTTTGTACTTTTACATTTACAACTCTACTTAGCGCTTTCTTTGGCATAAGTTTCACTTTTCTTTTTTTTTTTTTTTTTGGCTATTCCTGTTTTTAGTTATCCGAAAATCTCTGCATACCAAATATTTATTTACCTCCTTTAGATTTCTTTATCTAACCTCATATTTTAAGCCCTCTTTTTTTTTTTCTTTTAAGACTGTGCATCCTGAGAAATAAATGAAAAATAGCGTTCGAAATGCAATATGATTAGGAAAATATAAGTAAAATAAGTCTACAGGCACTGTTTCTTTTTTTAATGTAGGATAAGGAAGGAAGGTCAAAGAATATGAAGCTCAGTAAATAAACGTAGTTGAAAAATGAAATGAAAACTGGGTATATGCCACGCCAGGGTTTTATTGACATTGTTCCGGACGTTAAAAAATCAACGACATCCAAAGTTGTACCAAATTATTACTGTTTCTTTTACGAATTAAAGAATTTCAATAATTTATTTATTTAATTTACCCATCTCTTTTTGCTTTTTTTTAATGGTATGGTAGAGTGTGTGTGTGTGATGGAGAGATAGAAATAGAGCATTTAAAAAATTCTATCGACAGCTTTTTCAAAACTACTACGAAATATTAATAAGCCACTATTCTTGACTTTAAAACGAATTCACAAGGAAACTGAAAGAAAAGTTCGTAAAAATAATTTATTTTAACCGTTAACGGTTGGTAAGTTTTGGGGGATTTTTTCGTTTAAGAAAGAATTTAGAATTTAGATTTTTTTATCTGTTTCTTTTGAAAAACAACAATTACGCTTCTTATGATGAGATAAACAAAGTCATTCAGAAATTGCGCATGAAATAAGAAACCTGTTTGAATGAATGAATAATAAAAAAATTAAGATCGTCATAAAAAGCTTTAAACAAAATAACAATACTTATTTAATTAAAAAAACTTAATCGCACTTTCACTCTTATGACATTTTAATTCTTTACCGTTTTTATGCTGACAAAGGCTATTTTATTTCCTATGTTGAATGAATCTAAATACATTTTTGAGCATTATTTACAAAGAGTAAGTATTTCGGGCGTTTTTAACAAGTTTCATGTTACCTATATCAATTTTCGTTTTAGAGATAGAAATTAATTAAATGTTTTGTTTTTTAGTCTGAGTATATAATTTTATCGTGAAAAATCCTAGAAACAATGAATTTACGTTAAGTTATTGTGTAAAAAAAGTAAAACTATTTTTTTAACATACAATAATGCTCAACTGTTTGAAATTCTAATTCACAAAAGACCAAAACTTATAAAAAATATACGTTTTTTTGTTTAAAAAAACTTTTTTAAGATTATTTTCCCATGTCATTATTGTCGTTGGCAAATTTAAGAGAACTTTAGGCAGTAAGATAAACTAAGCAAAATCGGGAATAAGTAAATTTTCAAATAAAAAAAAGTAAGAAGAAATAGGATTTTTTGGTTATGGAAATAATTTGTCATTTAAAAAAGAAAAAAGAACTTTTTTTGATGAAGGGTACTTGATTTCGCTTAAAACATCTGCTACCTCAAAGTCAAATCTGGGTATTTTTATTTTTTTTATTTTCGCAACTGTAATAATTTTTATTTTATTTAAATTTAAAAATCATGTCTGCAATATGAAAAGAAACTAATTTAATTTTTTAAATAAATTTAAAATGATTTTAAAATATTTTCGTTCTAAGCAAGTAAAGATGTAAGCAATAAACAAACTCTGTCTAAAACTTAACTTTTGTTAGTTAAGTTTCCATGACTACTAACTAAATTAAACTAAACTAAAGTTAATTAGCGATTCCTGCTTTGGAGTGAGGAATGACGGGTTCGATTCACAACAGGGGCACCATTGTTTTTGTTTTCGCTTTGTGGTACGCTAGATTTGAAATTGTAAGTTAATAAAGAAGTTTTGTCAAAAAGTAAGTAATTGCTTTCGGACAGTGATATTTGGGGATAATAATGGACATCAACTGGATATTTCTGGGAGAACCTTTTCAAACTGTGTACTGTAAAATTTTCTTTTTTTCACATATTGAATGGAGTTACCATTTTTTTTAATCTTACTCATACTGTTAATTTTTTTTTAATTTAAGCTATGTCCCCGTAGAAAAAATATTTTTTAGTCGGTGTTTCGTAAATTGTTTACTTATAAATTCACTTTATTCTACTTTCTTTGAAAAAAAAAAAAAAAAAAAAAACTTTTGACGACGGTCTTAGGATTTCATTTTTGGCGATCTCAAATGTAAATAAAACACTTTCGTTTTTTTTAATTAAACCATCGCACCCCCCCCCCCTTTTTTCTTTGTGCGAGCGAGTGAATCTCTCTCTTTTTCGATTTATCTTTAATTCTTTAATAATCTCGCCCCAAAAAACACAAAAGGAAAAGGTTTGGCTAAAGAAAAGACTGAAATTAGAAATCTGTCAAAAATCATATTTTTAAAAAAAGAAACACGAATATCACACCAAGCTGGACTTTCTTTTTTTCAATTCCTGGGCATACTATACTCAGATAATTCACAATAATAACAGACAATTCACAACATTGTATTATTTTTATGCGTAGATGGAAGAGAAGTAATATAAATAAACAAACAAGAAAGGCCGGTCACGTAACAATAACACATATTGGGATTATTATTATTAAATTATTGCATAAATCCCACAAAAAAAAATCGTGTATTTTTTTTTCTTGTGCTTTCAGTTTTTTTTTTTTTTTATACCAGGAATAAAAGCTATAAAGAAGAACATAGAGTAGGATTTACTTACAAGCACTATTCACGGTACCCGTTCGACTGTGTATAGAATCCATCTCCCATAGGGGGCTTTCATCAAGTTGGTTATTCTGGTGTAACACGTCCGTCGCCATTGTGCACACAGCGACACCTAGCGGCAAAGTGAAACATCAAGACTTTCTTCTTCCCATGAACGGCTTTCTGTTCCTCCTCCTTAGCAACTACTGACAGAATGTTAGTTTCAAGAAACAACTGAGATGAAATATGGATAATAGCCGGGTTTGATGAAGCACACTCACACTAATTCTGATTTACTTAAAAGATAAACAAATAGAGTAGGAGGTGAAGCAACTGTTCATATCTATCTATCTTTCTATAAGAAGTCTATTCCTATCTATCTATCTATCTATCTCAGCCTGTTCATCTATCTTCCTAGTAGCCTCTCTGTTGATGTTTGTTTATGTTTGCATCTCAGTTGAGCCAGAATAAAGCTTGAATATTCTTATTACCATTTTTTTATTAAATTTCACCTTGTAAAAGGCTCGAGAGCCACTCAAGGCAGAAGGGTACAGTCAAAATGGTAATGATGAATGTGTTATGAGATATGAGTGGAAGAGAAAGTGGAGATCATGGGGATAAGAAAGATAGATAACAATTGATCCTTGATTTTAAAAGGTCAAGATTAAAGTGTTCTGGGAAGCACCTCCATGGGAGTCTATTCCACAATGTGACATTTCTATGGGAAAAGAAGTTATCTGAGTGGAATGTTATTCTTACATTTGGAACACGAAGGAAATGAGGATGATTCAACTCCACAGAAGTAATGTGATATGTTCTATCAGTAAAGTTCTGAATTGGTGGAACTAGTGAATAACACTCACCTGAACATTTGCCCTGGAAAATAGTGATAGACTCGGATAGTGACAGGCTTGCAAATTTGCAGCTATGTGAAAGTGGTTGTAGGGGGGAAAATAATCATCCCCCCCCAAAGACCAGGTAAATAATTTTGAACTCTAACAGAAAATAAAATAATGAACTCCTCAGATTTAGTACAGGGTGTTCTGAAAGTCTCATTACCCCTACATAATATAATTTTCTATTTCAGATGGCTGATTCAAGAATGATGGTGTTCATACAGATCTTCTTGATGTGTGACAGCATCAATGAAAGTGAATAAACTGAATCCAGTACATGTGCTTTGTGTTACTGTACTAGCAGTAGAGCCCGGCGTTGCCCGGGGATGTAACAGTAAGAGATAGATCAAGTATCGACCATCATGAAGACTGAAAAATAAAAATTGACAAAGATTATTGTTTAAGGTTGACGGACATGCATGTCTTAATTAGTTTTGTTTTTTGTTTTTTTTTGTTTTTTTTTGTTTTTTTGTTTGTTTTTTTTACGAATTGGTCAAAACCAAACTCAAACAAAAACATTGAGTCTACCGGTTGAATAGAATTTTATTATAAACAATTGTCTTGTAAATGGAATTTTTAAAGCATTCTGAATGTAAAAATAAAGAAAAAACGTGTGAAAGACAATAAGAAACACTACCTACCTACCAAAAAAAAGTGAAGTTTTGTTGAAATCGGTTGAAAAATGTAGGAAATCCGATCCCATATATAAATGAACACACACACACAAACAACCTGGGTTTTATAATAAGTATAACTCGATATGAGTTGTCCCCTTTTCATTCTCGCGACAGCGATGCCTCTTAATCGTGTTTTCAAATTGATTTCGTGCAAAAACAATCGTGTTTTTCCAATTTTGGGCGCTGTCAGAACCATCGCAAGGTAATTTTACGTAGTCCTGTGAAGTTTATTTGAAATCGGTTGAAAAATGTAGGAAATCCAATATATAAACGAACAGACACACACCAGCTGGGTTTTATAATAAGTATGATTACTTGTAATATTGTTCGCATTACATTTTGGTAGGGGGTGACAAGACTTCCAGACCACCCTGTACAATGGTTTGAACAAATACAAGACTGCGACACAACATGGCACTGTAGACTTCTCTGATTTCAGAACTATTTGGCCATGGGTGTATCACCTACAACACTTTAGACGATGATCAAGGCTGGTAAGTGAGGATCAGAAGCTCCACCACAGCAGTACACCATTTTGGGGTTAATCTGACTATCTATATATCTCTGTTTAAAGATAAAAAATGACAGAATGAACAGGGCGTGATATCATGAGCCAGCCATTTTTCCAGGTTCATTAGTTGTGGATCGTATATATGAATTCCATTTGAAGTCTGAAGTAGAGCTCCGGCAAAATGACCAGCTCCTTTTATCGCTCCAGGAATTTTGTTAACAACCTCTTTTATTCAGGACCTATAGAAAGAACTTCAAAGCCATTTATTTCTTTTTAAATGTTAGAATTCTCTTTAATTCACAAGAATTATGGTTAATGTGCTTTGAGATATACAATCCGTAATCTTCAGATTTAAGCATAAAACAATCTCCTTAAAATCTTTAATCTTAAGGACAAAATAATCACCCTCGCCCATAAGAAAATATATATTGATATATATTACCAAAGGTTACAATACATATTATTATTGGAATGGCTGGTGGAAAATAAATTCTACTTTACCATCCCAATATATACCATTATTATTGCAACGTTGCAACTCAGACCAGATAACAGGTTCATTCCCAGGGTGCAGCTTCTTCCATTCAAATACTTGTGGCTTGAAAAATAACTCTTTGACCAGATTGTTACCCATAAAATAAAATCACAGAGACAGTTGTAGCAGTCGGCAGTTTTTATTCAGTTGTAACCTTCTGCTGTAGATGAATGAGGCAGAGGTGAGGCAAGTTAGGGGTAGTTGAGGGACACACTGTTTAGTAGGCGTGTCTTCCATTTGCGTATCACGCAAGTGGTCTCTTGTGTCACTCTGGCATTTTGCTACAAGAGACCACTGTCTTATAGAGAACAGACCTTCTTTGACCTGTCATCTCTCTTACCACTTTTTGTGGCTTTCTGGCTTTTTGTTGCTAGAGGCCACTGTCTTATAGAGGATAGGCATTCTTTATCCTGTCAGCTCTGTCTAAAAAAGTAATATATCAAGAACCCAGAGTCTTGTTACACTCAGTGATCTTTCTTGTCAGGACCATTTGACATGAGTACTTGTGAAGTCCACTTCACTTAGCTGATAATCAGTGAGACAATAACTGTCAAAACAAGGTCTGTAACATCTTTCAGGTGTTTTCCTTTAACAAGTTATCGACTGACATTGATAATGTTACACTATACTTGCAGTATAGTAACCCCACAATGCCAGTGAAATGTCATCCTACTTAACTCTTTTTAATGGTCAATTGAATCAAAGTAAGTGAATGTTATTTTAATCATAATTGATTTTTGATGATCCCAACAAAATTTTAATTGGAACTTGTTATCTTGCCTAAGTGTTTGGTACTCAAAGGAAAATTTTGTAAAAGCTTTCTTTATAAATTTTGTATTCTGTAATTTGTTTTAATTGGTAACACCCCAAGCAAGGCAGTCAAGCCACTAAAATGCAAGGGGTTTCAGGGTGTGGAAGAATTAGGAACAGAAGTATTAAAATTGAGCAGAAAGAGAAAAGACTAATCAGGAGGACAGTAGATAGTGATTGACATTACATTTAAAATTTTGCAGATTAAATTTGGCTGGCAAGCATGGAGCTGGAAAGGAGTTCCACAAGCGAGAAATGCAAGAAAATAAACTTAGGATATAACTTACAGCTACATATAGCTAGCTCAACTGTAAATTGATGAGACCTCACTGTTAGTCTAGCACTTAAATTCATAAAGGCTAGGTACCATAGTGAAGAGCTCATCAGAACAATTATCACAAAAGTATTTATAGAAAAGGCACAGGGAGGCAACCTTATGTCGGTGTGAAAGTGACTGCAGGCAAACCAGCAGATCAGGACCAATAATATTGCTGATTCTTCTTTGGATCTTATCAAGGAGCTCAAGGTTAATAGCTGGGACACCTGACCATACGTGGCAGCAATATTTTAAGCTTGGAGGAATGGTAGAATTATAGATATCTAAGATGGAATCTAGAGAGAACAATTGTCTCGCATGACACAGTGAACCAGATTTCTTGGTAGCTGACCTAACAATGGATTCAATATAATTTTCCCACTTCATGTCAGCTGAGAACATTAGCCTGAGAAGGTGCAACAAGTCACTTTCCCGAAGGTTAGCATTAGCCATGCTTATGAAAGGCAGTCTTTCAGGTGATTAATGGAGTGAAGTTTAAGTTTTGGAGGCATTAAAATTAACAAGCCATCTTTTGCTCCAGTTAACAATAGATGGAGTCGTTTTTGGACATCGGCTGCCATTTTGACCTTGTTGGACTGATCAGCTTTACTCTCCAGGCAGGTGTAGTGTCATCAGCATACATGCCAAGCTAAGAGCTGATATCATCAAGAAGGTCATTAATGTAAATTAAAAAAACAGTAGGGCGGATCCCTGGGGGACACCCGCATTTGTATGAGAGGATTTAGATGAGTGATTGTTCAGGATAACTTTCATTTCGTGATATGATATCCTGGATTCAAGAATTCATTGGTAGCAATTGAACAAATTTAAATTGGTTTTGCAAAGGGCAAAGATATCTGGCGACTCTTCTAGGAGAAGTGTTGCCAGATATTCTACGCTGCAGAAGTTGGAATGGATACCATGGATATTGGAGAAAATAGGTTAAGGAGGTAGATGTTTTTTTTGTTTTTTTTTTGCTGATTTAGTTGTATTTCATTTTGCTGTGATTTCCATGAGATTTGTTTTGAGGAGAGAGAAAAACCCCACCCTAATTGTCACTATCTGTCGTGTTTATGGACAGAGCAAGCAGACTTATTTTCAATGGTGGTTTGGTGAAAATTAAGACAACTTAAAATGGGTCTCAGTTTCCACAGCCAAAGTCTCACACTTGAGATGGGTGTTGGAGGGGATGAAGGGTCAAGAATCACACACTTCTGATTGGTGGTGATGGTACCAAGGTAGTGAAGTATCTTTTGCATGGCAGGCAGGAGGGATGAAGGGTCTTTCCATCTGTGGTCTACCTTCCTTTATTTTTTTTGGCCTCTATCAAGGAATTAGAGTCACCAAAAATAACAAGTCACCCACAAACGA